CTCACTGCTGCCAGCCCCCACAAACTCCGAAGGCAGCACTTCACTCCCTGATGGTCCTGGCCCCATCCCTGCATCACACGCAGGCCCCTCATCTGAGTCCTCGCTCTCCGAGACCTCAGCCATCCGCACCTGCTGCCAGCGAACCACAACAGGTTGATGAATGTCCATTCGGGAATCCAGCTTGATTCCTGAAGGCATCTACGATTAATTGAAATGACTGAAGCTGCCACTCTGTAAATGAACAGCCCCCAATCATTTGGGGGCCGAGGACAGGGTTCCACGAAGAAAGGTTTTTCCATGGACGAGAAGGTGCGTGGTTTCACGTGCTGCCTGCATCCCACGGATGGGGCTTCACTTGTTTCACAGCCTGGTTTCTGGGACTGGGGCAGAGGGGGTATTCAGCAGGTTCTGACCAGTTCCGGAGGACCAGTAGTGGAAATTTTGAGTAGTTCGGAGAACCGGCAAATCCCACCTCTGACTGGCCCTGCTCCCATCTATTCTCTGCCTCCCATTGAGTCCCAGCTGATCGGCTGGGTCTTCTTTGGTTGCCCTGCATAGGAGAACGGAGCTGGAAAGCAGGTTAGTGGGGTGGGGAGGGCAACTTGTCTTTGTTTTTCCTTGAAGACGTTTCACTTTTCATCCAAGGAGCTTCTTCAGTTCTGACTGAATGATGGAGGATGGAAGGATTTATATTCCTTGCATCCCCTGGTTGTTAGCATTCTCTCTGAGGGCCATTGAGGCCACTGGGAGGTTTATGCTAATGACCAGATGACTGCAAGGAATATAAATGCTTCCATTCCCCACCGTTCAGTCAGAACTGAAGAAGCTCCTTGGATGAGAAGCGAAATGTCTTCCAAGGAAAAACCAAGGAAGTCCAGCTGCCTTTTGAAAAAAAGCACCTTAGGGACAACCATGACCGGGATGACTGAGAATCTCCATAGACAGTTACAAAGACTAGATGGACTAGATGACCTACCAGGTCCCTCCCGACTCTGAATATCTGTTATATTGTCTGTTATAATCAAAGCTTAAATTTATTCTTGACATAGCAGGGTGAAAGTGTAGACACTTTGAATTTGAGATCCCATATTACTTGTATGTCCATGTATGTGTCTCAGGCTTGTGAATCTCCTTCTACTTAACATTCTGTTCTTTTGGTTCAAAAATCCTTTTTCCTACAAAAGGTTTTCATTTCCAAGATGGTTGGCTGTGGGCGTAGCCATCTTTATTATTCTTAAACACAAGTGGCATTCTCCTTAAGTTCCCTGAGATATTTTCAAACAAGGAGCAGTAAAAAAGTGTTTCCTTTATTCCTATGGATGTTATAAATATAAATATTCCTATTTATTCCTTTATTCCTCCACTTTTTTTTTGGACAAACAGAGATCCAACTTAGAATTAAGCAGACAACGTCTGACAGTGAGAACAATTATAGGTAATTCTTGACTTACAGTAGTTTGTTTAGGGACTGTAAAAACTGTAAAAAGTGACTTATGGCCATTTTTCACACTTATGGCCGTTGCAATGTCCAAAAGGTCACGTGATCAAAATTTGGATGCTTGGAAATTTATGATGATTGCAGTGTCCTAAAATCAGGTGGTCATCTTTTGCGACCTTCTGACATGCAAACTTAATGGGGAAACCAGATTAATAACTTATACAACTGCAGCGATTCACTTAATAACTGTAGGAAGAAAAACTCACTTAACATCCGTCTCGGTTAGCAGTTGGAAATGTTGGGCTCAATTGCATTACATTATGCTGGTTTTTTTTCCCCTTGTAATCCATAGCTTCACTTAATTCACAGCGTGAAATAGCCACATAGAATTCTCATACGCGCTCCAAGTTTTGAGCCATCGAAGATGACTTTGGGAATAAGGCATAACATAGGATAATTAGAAATCATGTCTTGTGGAAAATAGGCCATAAGGATAATACCAGAAGCCGTAAAAGAATAACTTACAGGAAGGTAGTATTTGAAAAATATTTTGACTAGGTGAAAGGTAAAAGTTTCCTTCGCACATACGTTCTAGTCGTTTCCAGCTCCAGGGGGTGGTGCTTATCTCCGTTACAAAGTTGAAGAGCCAGCACTGTCCGAAGACGTCTCCATGGTCATGTGGCTGGCACGACTAAACGTCGACGGCGCATGGAGCGCTGTTCCCTTCCCACCAAAGTGGTCCCTATTTTTCTACTTGCATTTTTACATGCTTTCGAACTGCTAGGTTGGCAGAAGCTGGGACAAGTAATGGGAGCTCACTCCGTTACACGTTGCTAGGGATTCGAACTGCCGAACTGCCGACCTTTCTGATTGACAAGCTCAGCGTCGTAGCCACTGAGCCACCTTTGCCTAGGTTACCCATACACTAAAAATGAGGCTTCAAGTCTTCCCGTGTTGTCACTTAAGTGTTTTTCAATCCTGTTAGCTTGAAGACGTGTGGACTTAAACTCTCAGAATCCTGCGAATTAAACTCCACACATCTTCAAGTTGACAGGGTTGACAAACACTACCTTATATTGTCACAACTCCCCAATAAGTACTTTTATTCACACGAATACACACACGCATCCTCATCTACCAACATAAATGTTTATTGGCCCCATGCGAGATATTATTCAAAGCATCTATGCAAAAAAGCTTTGCATAAATGAAGCCATATTTCCATAAATGAAATAGGGGTCCAGTACAAGCTCAAAAGGCCTCATTTGACTTTAATTCCTCTTTATTTGCTTGCACTTTCCAATTTCACTGTCTTTCCAAAGTCTGTCTGTATATTAGCTCAGATGGCAGATATCTGGCTGAAGGATGCCTCATGTAACGTTAGATACAGCTAGTCCTCGACTTACAACTGTTTCTTTAGGGACCAAAGTTAACAATGGCACTAAAAAAAGCGATTTTTTCAGATTTTTGACTGTGACAGAGCATCTCCATGGTCACATAATCAAAATTTGGATGCTTGGCCACTGGTTCATATTTATCATGGTTGTAGTGTCCTAGGACCAAGTAATCCCCTTTTGCAAACTTCTGATGAACAAAGTCAACGGGGAAGCCAGATTCACTTAACAACCATGTTACTAACTTAACAACTCCAATGATTTGTTGAGTCGCAGTGGCTCAGTGGTTGGAGTGCAGTACTGCAGGCTACTTCTGCTGCCTGCCGGCTGCCTGAAATTTGGCAATTCGAATCTCGCCAGGCTCAAGGTTGACTCAGCCTTCCCTCCTTCCGAGGTGGGTAAAATGAGGACCCAGATGGTTGGGGGCAAGAGGCTGGCTCCGTAAAACCACTTAGAGAAGGCTGTAAAAGCACTGTGAAGCGGTATATAAGTCTAAGTGCTATGGCTATTAAGAACTGTGGGTGGCACATAAGGTTGTAAAATAGGACCAAACCCACTTAACAAATGTCTCCCTTCGTGACATAAAGTTTGGGCTCTATTGTGGTCGTAAGTCGAGGACTACCTGTATTTTGAGAATTAGGTGGTCGGCAGAACGATGGCACGAGGGAACAATCTATCCTTGTGTCTCAAAGGTGCTTTTCAAAACACAACTGGACTTTTTTAGTTTTTTTCTTAGTTTTTTCTTCTTCTGGAAAGCGTTTCTCATTCAAGAAGCATCTTCGGTTCTGCAAAACAGTTGGAAGAAGAAAAAAAAATTACCAAGTCCAGTTGACTTTTGAAAAAAAAGCACCTTTGGGACAGCCATGACCTGGATGACTGAGAATCTCTATTGTCATGCCCCCGTTGGAATCTGATTTTGAGGGGAAGATTGAGGAGCTGACAGGGAGTGGGAGTGTGGATCTGGTGGCTGTGGAGGAAACTAGGGAAGGGCACAGTCCAGCTGGGCATTCAGAGGAAGACCCAGGCCCACCCCCTCTTCATCCTAGGGCACACAGGGAGGAACAGAGAAGGGAGCAAAGTGAGTTACGTGGGTTACAGGGGAGGAAAGGGCCCTGATCCCCTTCATTAGCTGCAGCTGGGAAAATAGTGTTTAAAAAGACAAACTACGCACAGCAAAGTTGCTGGAAGCCAAGCGTGCATTATCTTTGTTTGTCGGGGCATATCTGGGTTCTGGCATCATCCCAACTGTGTGTGTTTCGTTACCTTTTGGAAGTCTGCAATTCCTTATCCTGCCCTGTCTTGTTAATTGCTGCGGTGTAGTTTGTGTTGGTTTTTCTTTATAATTTATATGTACTTTGGGTTTGGACTGAATTTCTTCCCTTTAAAGACTGTTCTTGGGAGAGTTTTTTTCTGCAGCCGAAGATAACTGGACATTGGGGGCCAAGTTGGAGGAATTAAACGGACTTTTACCTATTTTTGTGACTTTGTTGCTTTTGTGCCACGCCCCTTTGGGTCATCACATCTATAGACATTTGTATTTGTGTCTAGTTGACTTGACATACAATGCCTTGTAGCACCGTCCCAAGGGAAGGAGTCGAAATAGTTTATGTCCAGGATGTGAGGGGTCTGCAGATACTTTCTCAGCCTACCTTGTCAGCTTGCTCACAGGAGCCGGGTTCTAGAGTGGAAGACAGGCAAGAAATGGCTCTTGACAGGGTGCATCTTGGAGAGCTAAACTCAGAAATCAGGGGCCAGGTTTCCGACCGTTGGGCCATTCCCCTTGCACGGAGCTGCTCGGACCGAATGCTTCGTATCTAAACCTTCACGCCCGTCGTTCCATCTGCACTCTACATATTCCATCTGACCAGATCACCGTCTGTTTTCCCACTCATTCATCCCCCTCAGTTCTTTCTTTCTTTCTCTCCTTCCTTCCCTCTTTCCTTAATGGGTGCCGCCCCCCCTGCCCTATCTCCATTCATCGACCACGGAAAACTTTCCCGAGACGCCTTTTCAAGTCAGCGATGTCCCAAAGCCACATCTCGGCACGGCCCCTGCTTCTACTGCTGCTGCTTTTTGAAAGACTGTTGAAATTGACCCCCCCCCCCTCCGCCCCACTTGTCTCTCCCCTTTTTTCTCTTGGTCTCATTTTGATTTGTCTCCGTGTCCAGTCAAAAGGTCAGCTTGAAGGAGCGTGTCTTCTCCAGCCCTCGAGGTGCGACCACGAAAAGTAAAAGTTCTCCTCAGGGGTCAAGCATCCGAAGATCCCCCAGTGCGGACCAGAGCATGGAAGATAGCCCAAGTAAAGTCCCCAAGAGCTGGAGTTTTGGAGACCAGACTCGGGCTAGGCAAGCTTTTCGCATCAAAGGAGCCGCGTCCCGTCAGAATTCGGAAGGTGAGCCAGATGTCAACTCATAAAATATTTCTATGGTCTTTTTAGAGTTGCCACCAGAAAGGGAGGGGGGAGAAGTGCAGCAGCTTGCAAAACCGAAACCGCATTCCATAAATGTTTTCAAAGATAGTAACCAGGTGACTGAAGTTTCTGCCCTGCAAAATTCTAACCGGAGAACATGATTGATGACTCTTGGCTATGGAGGTGTCCCATTGGAGAATATGAATTACGATACACCCAGGTGGAGGGAGGGGGAAACAGGGTCAAGTGTAACAATGAATTATGTGTCTCAGAGTCAGCTACACCCAGGCAGTGCCAGCATGTTAACTCTCAATAAATCATTTTTAAGTTTTGGAAGTTTGGCTCGAGACTCATGATTTAAATGGGGTTAAGTGCCGGAATCCTGACAGCAGAAGGATTGTCCACGCAAGGCTTGGTCTGTGTTTGTCTTGAGAGGTTTTGGCAGGAGAAAGGAGACAGCAGCAAATTTCAGGTAGTCCTTGACTTACAATGACAATTGAGCCGAAAGTTTCCATTGCTAAGCAACGTACAAGTAGTCCTTCACTTACAACAGCTCATTTAGCGACTGTTAGAAATTACAATGGCCCTGAAAAAAATGATTGATGACCGTCTTTCACCGTTGCAGCATCTCCAGGATCACATGATTTACATTTGAATCTTTCACAACTGACTCACATTTATGACGGTTACAGTGTCCTGGAGTCAGGTGATCCTCTTTCGCAACCTTCTGACAAACAAAGTCAATGGGGAAACCAGATTCACTTAAGGACTGTGTTGCTAATTTAAGAACTGCAGTGATTCAGTTAACAAATGTGGTGAGAAAAGTTGTAAAATGAGGCAAAGCTCACTTAGCAAATTTCTCGCTTATCAACATAAATTGTGGGCTCCATTGTGGTCATACATTGAGGACTACCAATAAGCCCCCCCCCCAGTTTACGATCTTTTATGCCGCTAATTATCTTAATCAGCACTTATGGCGCCCTGGTGACACAATGGTTGGAATGCAGTATTGCAGGCTAACTGTGGCCACAGCTTGGAGTTCAATTCTGACTGGCTCAAGGTTGACTAACTCAGCCTTCCATCCTTCCAAGGTTGATAAAATGAGGACTTAGATTGTTGGGGGCAATAGGCTGACTCTGTAAACTGCCCAGAGAATGCTGTAAAACAGGGGTCTCTAGCCTTGGCAAAGCTGGCTGGGGAATTCTGGGAGTTGAAATCCACCAGGCTTAAAGTTGCTGTCAAGCCCGAAATTGACCTATATGTAGCCATTTTAGTTAGGCTTAGTATACATTCTTTTTCTTACTTTCTCTGTGGCAGTCATGGGGGGAAGGGTTTCGGGCTTGCCACATTCCTAAGGAGTGGAGATAAAGAAAGTTGTTTTGGCTAGGTGGTTCTTCTTCCTGTGGGAAAACGAGCTGTCCATGCTTAGGCCCCTCAAGGTGGAGATTTATGACATCAAGCAACGTTGAATTACTTCTATTGGAGAATGTGACTTTTGGGGGTTGTTTCTAACTTTTAATATTGTGCGGTAATTTCGGGTTGTGTCAGATCCGGAATTACCATGGGCTTTGCCAGTTTGATGCTTTCCTAAATAAAAGAATTTGTCTTGGAAGATGGACTTTGTTCTTTTCTTTTTAAATGGATTTCATCACTTGGAAACCTGACAGTTGCCAAGGTTGGAGACCCCTGCTATAGAGCACTGTGAAGCAGTATATAAGTCTAAATGCTATTGCTATTATGCATTGTCCTGAGCCCTGTGATCCCCTAGCTTAATAGCTGCAGTGGTTAGAATGCAGTACTGCAGGCTACTTCTGCTGACTGCCAGCTGTCTGCAATTTGGCAGTTCGATTCTCACCAGGCTCAAGATTGACTCAGGCTTTCATCCTTCCGAGGTAGGTAAAATGAGGACCCAAATTGTTGGGGGCAATAAGCTGACTCTGTAAACCGCTTAGAGAGGGCTATCAAAGCACTGTGAAACGATATCTAAGTACTATTTTTTATTGCTATTCACTTAACAACTGGCAAGAAAGGTCGTAAATTGGGACAAAATTATGCAACGTCTTATTCACCAACAGAAACTTTGGGCTCAGTTGTGGTTGTAAAATGAGGACTACCTTTAGCAAGCTGCAAAATACAATTTCAAATCAGGCAAACCCAGTTCCTTTGCATCTTCTAACTGCTTATCTTTAACTCACGTTTCTCCCCCTGCTCCATCACACAAAACCTAGGTATATCCTTTTGCCACTGTTTAACTGGGCCATAAGTCATCAAAGCAGGTATTGTCTGGAACAAAAACGCCATTCTAGGCAAGACATCCTTTTTTTCTATTCCTGATTTTGCAGAGAAATGTTTTGTGCGCTTTCATTTCACTTAGCATAATGCAACTCTCTTTAAGTCCTTTCATTTTAATGTAGCATTTTTGCAGCTATAAACTGCACCTTTTAATTCCCTTTTAATCCTGGAAACCATCCAGAAGCCTTTGGAAAGCCACAGGATGGATCGTTCAATACAGCAAGTAAAAACCTAAGTGCTTCTCTAGATGAATCTTTCAGCAGATAGTGCATAAATATGTTCTTCCCCCTCTCACCTTCTTCATTGTCTGCTTGTCTAGCTAGTTTGTGTTTCTGTTCATTCTGCCCCAGCCTGAGGCTCTTCCTGTTGAATATCTGTCTTCTCACTCCTTTTTCCACATCTGTAATTAGAAGCAAGCCTCCCTGGAGAAGACATGCCTGACCCTGACAACAAGAGCTGCCACTGTGAATTTTTGACAGAAGATCTTACACCAGGCCTTAAAGCCAGCATCCGGGCAGTGTGGTAAGTTGTGTGTCCATTTTACCAGAGGTGGTATTCAGCAGGTTCTGGTGATTCCCCATGCTAGCTGAGAAATTCCCCATGCTGGCTGGGGAATTCTGGGTGTTGAAGTCAAGTTGCCCAGATTAAGAAACACTGATTTAAAGCAATAGATCCCCAGGCTCCCCTTGTGACACCATCCATGGACAGATGGACAGTTAGAAAGAATAAACCACTGCAGGTTCCTGCTTGTCACTCTGTTTTTCTGCTTTAGCATCATGCGGTTCCTGGTTTCCAAGCGAAAATTCAAGGAGAGCCTGCGGCCGTATGATGTGATGGACGTCATTGAACAGTATTCAGCAGGACATCTGGACATGCTTTCCCGGATTAAAAATCTTCAGTCCAGGCAAGTCTTCTCTTTTTCATCTCTGGTGGCTTCTGGTATCCGTTATTCCTCATACTTGACTTAGGTAGGGTTTGGTATTCTGGAATATGACGTTGAGGCGATCAGTATCTCAGAAAGAGCGAAAGTGGTTGTTTGAATGTGGACCAACGATCTCCCCTGGTCTCCATTGGGCTGTTCTTGAAAGTACTATATCTTTTGTGGTATAGGCAAGAAATGAAAACTAAACTTTAGCACACATGGAAATTATATTTGGCATATTGTGATAAATATCAACCATTCAGGTATTCAGACAAAGGACAATAGGAGCTTTATTATGGAGCTTTTGCAAAAGGGAATTCTGTGCTCATGGCTGCAGAAGACATGTTCCCTGGGAGGGCTGGGGTTTATATACAGTTTCAAATATACAGTCGCTGCCCCTTTCCGGGCTCACAATTTATCCAGCTATGTATCTCCCTACGCAACACTCCTATTATTATTGTAGCATAACATCTGTTTCCTTAACCTGTTTACCCGTGTCCATTTCCAGTAATCTCCATCATTAAGATGACACTGGACATCATGATCTGCCAAATATATAACCATTATACAAAACAATAGAGAATTCTCACATAATATCCCAGTAAATTATCTTAGGTTAACACAGAGGTTAAAAATGGCGTGACCATTGCTTTATATTTTCACAGGTATAATTTTACATATCATACATATCGTTTATATTCTTGTAAAACAAAACAAAAAAAACAAGAACCTCAGCCTGGGTAAATTGTTCTCCTAACTGGACAATATACTGGGAAGTAGAGATAGTCCTCGACTTAACAAACATTCATTTAGTGACCATCCAAAGTTACAACGCCACTGAAAAAAATGACTTATGACCATTTTTCACACTTACGACCATTGCAGCATCCCCATGATTATATGATCAAAAGTCAGACACTTGGCAACTGGTTCATATTTATGACGGTTGCAATGTCCCAGGGTCACGTTCATTCCCCTTTTGCGACCTTCTGACAAGCAAAGTCAATGGGGAAAGCCAGATTCACTTAATAACCGTGTTACTCACTTAACAACTGCAGTGATTCACTTAATTAGTGTGGCATGAAAGGTCACAAAACGGGGCAAAGCTCACTGAACTGTCTCTCTTCGCAACAGAAATTTGAGGTTGAATTGGGGTCATAAGTCGAGGACTACCTGCAGTAGTTTCTGATGTTGGTTTTCACCTTTGTAGGGAGATTTGTCAAAGAAATCGAGGTGAAGAGTGGGTGTGCAAAAACCTCACCTTCTTATTTTACAAGTTTTGTATCAGCAGTGCACATAAAAACACTATCCAGAGCCACTTGCTCATGAGATGGACAGCTTATATGAATTCGATAAGTAAATTAAATTAAAATATAAAAAATGGGTGGAGTTTTGATCATTGTCACAGACACCATTTTGACTTTTGGGATGCTCCCACATGCCCTGTAGACCCCCACTGTCCCATTATATGGTGTGTTCAATATCAAAAATGTGTGTGTGTGTGTGTGTGTGTGACAGAATAACAATGTTGAAAGGGACCTTGGAGATGTTCTAGTCCCGTGATGGCGAACCTATGGCACATGTGCCACTGGTGGCACGCAGAGCCATTTGTGCAGGCCCGCAAGCCCCAGCCAAACTTACCTGCACTGCACATGCATGCGCCTCCCAGCTGATTTTCGGCCCATTTGAGGCCGTTTTTGCCCTCCCAGAGGTTCAAGGGAAGCCTTTGCAGCCTTGGGAGGCCGAAAAAAGGGCCTTCCAGAAATACCGGAAATGCTGAAACAGGCCCGTTTTCAGCCTCCCAAGGTTGCGGAGGCTTCCCTTGAGCCTCCAGGAGGGTGAAAATGGCCTCAAACGGGCCAAAAGTCAGCTGGGAGGTGCGCGCATGCGCAGATTAGGTAAGGGGGCAGGGTGGGGGTGTTACGTGCACATGTGCAGGGGGCGCAGGGTGCATTGCATTGTGGGTGCTGGGTCGTGCGTGCTTTCAGCACACCACAACGAAAAGGTTCTCCATCACTGTTCTAGTCCAACTCCCTGCTCAAGCTAAGATCTTGCGCAGAACTCTCAAACTCTCAAGCCTCTGTTCGAGGATACGAGACCACACACACACACACACACACACACACACACACACACACACACACACACAAACACACACACCATGTCCTCATCTCCTCTCTCACACACACATATATTTTCTTGGAGATTATTCCTGCTGTTTTCTTGGCCAGGTTTTTCAGAAGTGGTTTTCATTGGCCTCCTTCCTAAGGGCTGAGAGACCGTTCAACTTTTTAACCAATTTTTAATTTCAGCTGCTGGATTCCACAACAACGTATAGCATTTCTGTGTTCTCCTTATCCCCTTTTTACTATTTTTGCAAGCGGGTCTTGCTATACCTGTCTCTTTCTTGGTCCACCCCATGTAGATGTGTGTATTGGTTTTCTCTGAGCTTTCCTTTTCCCCAAACGGGTTGACGTACCTTCCATTGATTTCCGCAGTGTGGAATTTTCCTTTTTTGTTTTTTTTAGCGCCGTGAACGGCTTTGAGTACTTCATCAGAAAGACAGAGCGCAAAGTTGTGGGTTGTGTTGTTGTTGTTGCAATGGAATATTTTCATGCATTTCCCAACTCGTCTGTTCATACTTAGCCTGCTCATTGCTGAACAATGAATGCTTTGACAAGGGGTTCCTTTGGATCCTTCCCAAAGAAGGATTATTCCATTGTCGCTGAAAAACCCACCACTTTTTAACAACCATTCTAAATGATCAGATTGTTTGGATATTTGTTTTTTGTTTTTTTTAAATTTTCTAAGCAGAGATAATCTCTCCCTTTTGTTTCTCGATTTCAAAAGTTTTCTCCCGCTGCAAAGTTCCCAACTCAACTCTTTCTCCGACATGTTGCTTCATTGTGTGTTTTGTTGGTGTGTTTGTTTTTCTGATTTATTTTTGCCAGGATAGATATGATTGTGGGTCCCCCACCCTCTTCAACTCCCCGGCATAAGAAGTATTCAGCCAAAGGATCACCCCAATACTCGCCTAGGTTAGGATATAGGCAATTTTTGTTCTGAGCTTCTCATGTGCTTCCTGCGGAATCTTTTCATGCCATGTTCAGAGGTGCTCTTGATCACATCCTGCTGGTTCATTTCCCTACCCCCTGAACGGCATGCTCTCCTGGATGTGCTTAATTGTTATTTTTAATTTTAAGGGCACTGAAGATGGGTCTTCACACCATGCAGCCTTAGACATGGCCAGGAGCACTTATCCAATAAACTGATTTTTGTTGTGTTGGAATCATTTTTTATGCATGGGATGCGTTTAGCTGCTGTAGTTTCTATCCCTGTGAAATACAGCCTTGGCATCGATAAAAACTGTTCCTGCAGAAAGAGAGAGGGAACGGTAGACCTTGATCAAAAGGCGCTTTTTCCAAGAGGCAACTGGACTTTCTTTGTTTTTCCTTGAAGAGGTTTCGCTTCTCATCCAAGAAGCTTCTTCAGTTCTTCAGAAGTTCTACAGAACTGAAGAAGCTTCTTGTCAGGGTTCCGGCAGTTACCCCAATTAAATCATGAGTCTTGAGCCAAATTTCCAAAACTTCAAAAGGATTTATTGGGAGTTCACATGCCAGCACTGCCTGGGTGTAGCCAACTCTGAGACACATCATTCATTGTCACCATTGACCCTGTCTTCTCCCACCCCCTGGATTCATATTCTCCAATGGGACACATCCATAGCCAAGAGTCATCAATCATGTTCTCCAGTTAGAATTTTGTGTGGCAGAAACTTCAGTCACCTAGTTACTATCTTTAAAAACATTTGTGGAATGCAGTTTCAGTTTTGCAAGCTGCCGCACTGCTCCCCCCCGCTCCCTTTCTGTTGGCAACTCTAAAAAGGCCAGAGAAATATTTTATGAGTTGACACTTCTTGGATGAGAAGTGACATGTCTTCAAGCAAAAACAAAGAAAGTCCAGTTGCCTCTTGAAAAAAGCACCTTTGGGACAACCACAACCTGGATAACTGAGAATCACAATAGACACATAGTCCATTCATTTAGTGACCAACTGAAGTTACAATGGCACTGAAAAAGGTGACATATGACCATTTTTCACAGTTACAACCACTGATCAAAACTCAGACACTTGGCCACTGGTTCATATTTGTGATGGTTGCAGTGTCCTGGGGTCACGTGATCCCATTTTGTGTCCCTCTGACAAACAAAGTCAGATTCAGTTAACAACCGTGTTACCACCTTAACAACCACAGTGATTCACTTAACAACTGTGGCAAGAAAGGTCCTAAAATAGGGCAAAACTCACTTCACCAGTTAGCCACAGTTAGCCACAGAAATGTTGCGCTCTATTGTGGTTGTAAGTGAGGACAGTCTGTACAACAATGCTGAAATATATTGGGAAAGATTTTCAACTTAGCCAAAAGTTTGGAAGCTGAGTCATGGCGACTGGACATTTTTTTTCTTTGGGTTTTGAAACGTTTCACTGATCCTCTGAGTAGCTTCTTCAACAAAATGTTTCAAACCTCCCCCAAAAATTGCCCAGTTGCCATGACTTGTTTTTCAGGCAACAATGCCTGGATGACTTCGATCTATGACCGAGATGTTTGCTTAATGACCACTGCAAAAAATGTTGTAAAATTATACATGGTCACTTGATGCCTCGACTTACAACCACAATGACTTAGTAGCATAATTCTGGGCTCAGTTACAACCATAAAGAGAGGACTACCTTTCGGTAGTTTTACCGTAGCTCCAATAATAAAAGGAGAGATGACACGGTGTAAACTCATAGGGTTGGAAAGCACGAATGTATTATTAAGGATAAAATAGTGTGTTATTTTTTGCAGTCCTTCTTACTAAAATCCAGCAAGATAGTTCCCCCCTTTCAGCATAATTAATAAGTAATTATAATCTACTAGTATAATTAATAATCTACCTAGCACTAGAACTGCCAACCTAGCAGTTTGAAAACATGTAAATAATGCACGTAGAAAAATAGGGACCACTTTGGTGGGAAGGTAACAGCGTTCCGTGCGCCTTCGGCGTTTAGTCATGCTGGCCACATGACCACAGAGACGTCTTTGGACAGCGCTGGCTGTCCGGCTTTGAAACAGAGATCAGCACCGCCGCTAGAGCCGGAAAAGACTAACACATATGTGCGAGGGGAACCTTTACTTTTACCTTATAATTAATAATAATCAATTAGTATATAAACAGAGAGCAAATCCCTCTCTGGCCATGATGTTGTTACCTAATTGGGTAATGAAATGTCTGCAAGAAAACAACCAAGCTCAGAGAGACCAAGGACTCCATAATCGTTCCTCCTCCTCCTCCTCCTCCTCCTCCTCCTCCTCCTCCTTTTCCTCCCCTCCTCTTCCTCTCCCTTCATCCCCTCCTCCTCCTCCCCCCTCCTTTTCCACGATACATTTGCCAAAAACAAAACAAAACCTAAACCCAGAGAGTACCAGGGACCCCATTATTAATTACTAACTAACAAAAGTCTGATTTTTTTCAACATAGACCACCCGGTCTGTGGAATGGCTGGGTGGACTGGACACTAACAATTGATCCACTATAAGTCCATGTATTTGTCATATGCTAAATAAATAAAGCGTTTCATTTTGACAAGCCCTTAGAACAGGGGTGTCAAACTCAAGGCCCGGGGGCTGGATCCGGCCTGCAGGGTGCTTAGATCTGGCCCGCAGGGCTGCCATGGAAATGGCGAAGGACTGGCCCATGGTGCCTCTGTCAGTGAAAATGGAGCTCGGGATTCAGTGGTGGGATTCAGTTTTTTTTTTTACTACCGGTTCTGTGGGCATGGCTTTGTGGGTGTGGTGTGGCTTTGTGGGCGTGGCTTTGTGGACGTGGCAGGGGAGGGATACTGTAAAATCTCCATTCCCACCTGACTCTTGGGGGAAGGTTACTGCAAAATCCCCATTCCCTCCCCACCCCACTAACCTGCTTTCCAGCTCCATTCTCCTGTGCAGGGCAACTAAAGACGACCCAGCCAATCAGCTGGGACTCAATGGGAGGCAGAGAATAGGTGGGGGCGGGGCCAGTCAGAAGCGGTATTTGCCAGTTCTTTGAACTACTCAAAATTTCCGCTACCGGTTCTCCAGAACTGGTCAGAACCTGCTGAATGCCGCCTCTGTCAGGATTCCGTTTTCACTGGCAGGGCGCTCGAGCCACCCCATGCACCCCCCCCCCCCCAACATGAGTGATGTCATGCTGGCCACACCCTCCCTGGCCACACCCACCCCGACCCCCTGAGGTCAAAACAGAACCCCTGATGCGACCCTCAATGAAATCGAGTTTGACACCCCTGCCTTAGAAGAAGGACAAGATCAACAACCTTCAATAAATAAACGTAAATGGAGATTATCCTATTATGCTGCTGTTTTGTATTTCAGCGTTTTGATGGCTCATGTAGGAAAACCGGGGAACATTTGTGCAGCCTTTGACAGACGAAAGGGGGTGGCCCCAGTGCCTAGGCTGTGCTCAGAAGGCCGTATTTGAAAAGAACAGATCATTTCTCTGTTTCTCCCTTAAGGGGGTGGAAAATATTTCTTTTTTTCTCTCTTTTTTTTCTCCTCTCTTGGCTGGCCTCCACTCGAGCAATTTTTGGGTTTTGCTAACTGCTTTTGGCAAAGGCCGGAGATGCAGATGTTCCTCTTTGCATGTTCCTGAAAGCATGGAGTGTAATGTAGCATGAGGGATAAAATGCACCGTGTCGCAGCCCCCATTTCTTTCCGATATCATTTCAAAGAAAGAAAAACATTATTTCAAAGGATGGCAATGGGGAGAAAACATGGTTTCCTCCCCAGCTTCAGTGGAAATTGATCAGGGTGCAATCAAATGCTGTTGTTTGATTGACCAGGAGTGGATAAATACATTTCATAGGAATAGAAGAAATGCTATTTTACTGCCCTTTATTTAAAAATATCTCAGGGAACTTAATGGAGAATGCCGCTTGTGCCTAAGAATAACAAAGATGGTTAAGTCCACAACCAACCATCCTGGAAATGAAAGCAGAGTAGCAGAGTTATTTAGAGGATCTTAAAAGATACTAGAAGACCTTTAGTCTTCTAGTACCTTTTTCCTTTTACCGTGAAGTGAGATGAGTTGTATCGATCAGCCTGACTGTTGTTTGCCTCATGTTTTGTGATGAGATGTCTAATCTTCAAAGGAAAAAAGCCTCATGATTGCAAATGTCACCCAACAGAGGCTACTTAATATGCATAGTAAAGGAAAAACAATGCAGCTCTTCTACTATTAGCAACGCCCTAGTTAATTCTGTGAAGCCGTGCAATTGTCCCCTTGCGATTATGCTTCCAAATAAAATAATGATAAATACAGATAGCGGCCACCATAAATCTCATTATGGTCCAGGGCCAGAACAAATGTAGATCTAAGTAATTGGGTTGGGGGGAAAAAACAGCTTTGCAATACACAGATGTGCACAGAAATGCACCTTTTAAAAACATTAAAGCAGCTGGATCTCTTTTTGAGGCATGTGCAGATGTTATATCGAAGCTGCTTCAGGCTTTTTCGTGGGTTGAATGCGTACAGCCACTTCTCTTCTTGGAAGCTGGATGTGAAGCAGCCATGTGAGCGTGGAGTCCAAAGGCTTGCATTAGTATATAGATAATGCAAAAAAAAAAAAAGATAAATAATACACAGTTGCTTTAATGAGTCAGAGAAGACATAGCTCTTTCGAAGGATTTGCACAGCCCATGCCATTGACATGTATACTTGCTTCTTGAAAGCTATTTCATCAAGCAGGCATTGAGCACTGAATCCAAATGCTTACAGTAGTATACAGATATTGCTTAATAAAAAAAACAACCAGCTGCTTTAATGAGTCTAGGAGGGGACATTGCTCTTTCAAATACATTTGCACATAACCAATACATAACCACCTCGCTTCCTAGAAGCTCTTTATGAAGCGGCCATGTAAGCCTGGAGATCAAATGTTATGCCCAATATACAGATTTTGCCAACAAATAAATAATGCACAGCTGCTTTAATGACTCAAAGAGAAGACACAGCTCTTTTGAAGGATTTGCACAGCCCATGACGTCATGCACACAGCCACTTCGCTTCCTGGAAGCTGTTTATGAGGCAGACATGTGAGCCTGGGGACCAAATGATTGCAAATAAATAAATAATACACAGCTGCTTTAATGAACCAAAGAGTGGACACAGCTCTTTCAAAGGATATGCATATAAATTTCTGAGCATCCTTCTGCCAAAGTAAGGCAATTTGATATGACTTGAAACAGCTAGATCTTTCCCCGGATTTTAGTTTTTCAAGGTGTTCATGAATATTTCATTTCATTAATCCATTTTCCACCTTTCCTTGCCTGATATCGAACTCATAACTCATTCACGCCTTGTGCATGGAACTTTGCTCCAGAGCTGTGGAAGAAGTACTGTTTAAATTGCTCCAGACCAACACATTTTTTACTGAATGATGGATATACTGGTTTGTGGTTTTTATTCCTGGTTCTTGTCATCTGGGTTTTTTAGAAGTTTACCTGTACAATTCTGGCACATTATGCAAAAGTAAAATTGACCAGAGCTAATTAAGATTTTGAAGTTAAGTCAGATGGTTGGTTCTATAATAAGGGGGAGGATACAAGTTTAGACCACACAACCTGAAAATAACTCCCAACAACCATGCATAAAACAATAATTTCCCGAGGAAACCATAAACCATCTTCCATTCTCCCCCTCTCCTTTCCTGAATTAAAGAGGCCTCCAGGAAAAAAAAAATGCAGACTTTAAAGATCATATGAGGGCAGGTAAGGTGATTGCCATATGAGCCATATAAAAATTAGATGACCATCTTTAGGAAAATGTTCCAAGATATAAAAATCGATCATGTCCAGTAAGTCAAAGCCCAGGTTTTAAAATTCTGCTAAATCTTGCAAAGGATATATATATAGCTCTGTTAGAAAAGGGACATGGCTGCTAATTTTTACTAATTCATATTTGTAGAAAATTCCTATACTTCTAAAGAGTTCAGAGCAATTTTTGTTTTATTTATCATATTTAAGAAAATGACACATGACCTCAACTTTAAAGAGTCTCATGTTCAGATAATTTACAAGCTCAGATCTGGAGAGCAAAACTGTGTCTTCCTTTTTTGACCATTTCTTGAATTCTTCACTAACAAAGCCTGTGAAAGCATTTTATTTTTCAAGAGGACTGACAGCTCTTTGTAATTTTTTCATCTTTTCATTAAAACCAGTAATTATTTCTTAGCATTGATCACTTTGTGGTTTTCAGGAATTTCATTTGCTGAACTAGATCCTTGTAGTAGCAATTATTTTTAATTGTTTATGGCCAAAATTGGCCAGAATCAGTTTATATGTTAATGGCTTACCATTCCTAATTTCTTGCATCCTTTCATTTTTGGAGATAGGGTAGGCCGATTCTATAATTGCCCCTTTTACCCTTGTTATGAGGTGGTGGTGCAGTGCTTAGAGTGCAGTACTGCAGGCTACTTCTGCTGACTGCCGGCTGCCTGCAGTTTGGCAGTTCGAATCTCACCAGGCTCAAGCTTGACTCAGCCTTCCATCCTTCTGAGGTGGGTAAAATGAGGACCCAAATTATTGGAGGCAATAGGCCAGGGGTGGGATTCTATCAGTTCGGCCCAGTTCAACCGAACTGGTAACTCCAAAGATCAGCTGAGAGGGAACCGGTTTGCTCCAATGATCTTCAAAGTGCGCACTCACCAAACCGGTATTACACTGGTTGAATCCCACCCCTGTAATAGGCTGACTCTGTAAACCGCTTATAGAGAGAGGGCTGTAGAGCACTGTAAAGCAGTATATAAGTCTAAGTGCTATTGCTATTGCTATTAAATAGAGCTTATGAATTGTAGTTTTGTGAAAAGGCTGAGGACTCAAACCATATATTTTCAGGCAAAACTAAGATTCAAGCTGGTTTATTCATAGAAGACAGTAGACTCTTAGCATTTATCAAATTTAACTTGAAGTTGTGTGGACTTCAACTCCCAGAATTCCCCAGCCAGCATGGCTGACTGGGGAATTCTGGGAGTTGAAGCCCACATATCTTCAAGTTACCATGTTTGAAAAACACTGATGTGTGTCTATTAATTGAAGGGCATTATATGCTGAATATGCAAGTATATTGGGTAAAAAAAAAAATCCTTTCCCGTCTTTGATAATAATGCAAAAAGTTAGCTTTAGATTTCCCCCCATATAATACAAATGATTATAAAAACATGACATTTTAGAATACTTGACCATGTAAAAAAACAAAAAGATAGTGAGGAATAAAATAGCTTTGGACAATATTGCAGATAATGTATATACTACCATTTTTAGATAGAAGATAGACGATAGAATTCTTTATTGGCCAAGTGTGATTGAACACACAAGGAATTTGTCTTGGTGCAAATGCTCTCAGTGTACATAAAAGAAAAGATACATTCATCAAGAGTCGAGAATCATTAGGTACAACACTTAATGATAGTCATAGGGTACAATAAGCAATCAAATCATACTAGGAAACAGTATAAATTGTAAGGGTACAAGTGACAAAGTTACAATCATACAGTCACAAGTGGGAGGGGATGGTTGATAAGGAGTGATGAGAAGGTTAACAGTAATTGTAGTGCAGACTTTGTAAATAGTTGAACAGTGTTGAGGGAATTATTTGTTTAGCTGAGTGATGGCGTTCAGGGAAAAAACTGTTCTTGTGTCTAGTTGTTCTGGTGTGCAGTGCTCTATAGCATCATTTTGAGGGTAGGAATTGAAACAGTTTATGTCCAGGATGTGAGAGGTCTGTAAATATTTTTATTTTGAAAATCATTTTTTTCCCTACAAACCTAGAAGAATACAGGGTGAGATTCAGATTTTGGAAACCAACAATGTTGATCCAGAATTATGCCAAGGAAATAGTATTACTTATTCTTCCAAATTTATCCTTTTTGTTTGTGTGCACTACTTATTTTGGAACTGTGACACACAGTGGAAATTAACTAGCCATGTTCCTGGTCTTCTTTCTCGGTTATTTCTAACACTTAAAATGAGCCATATAATCTAAGTTAAATAAATAGAGACCAAAACTAAAGAGGAATTTGGAAACACAATGTAGCTTTGATCACAAGGGGCAAATTTACTAATGCTTATTGTGCCAGATTTAAGCTCTAGAAAGGGAAACAAATGTTTTGAATTATAAAATGCAAGCAGAAATAAAGAGACGTATGACTTTGCATCTGAGTAATTACTTACCTGCCTGATGCTATTTCTGTTAAATCATTAGGCAAGAAAAGCTGGAGGAATTGAGGGAGTTCTCAACTTATAACCATTCATTTAGTGACTGATGTTACAAAAGCACCGAAAAAAAGTGAATTATGCCAAATTTTAAGACTTATGACTTTTGCAGGGTCTCTATGGTCACATAATCACAATTGGGGTACTCGACAACTGGAATATATTTATGACAATTGAACTGTCCCGGGGTCCATTGATCACCATTTTTGACCTTCCCAGCTTCCGACAAACAAAGTCAATAGTGGAAGCCAGATTCACTTAACAACTGCGGTGATTCACTTAACAACAGTGGCAAAAAGGGTTGTAAAATGGGGCACAACTCACTTTGACAATCGACTTGTGTAGCAATGGAAATTTGGGGCCTCACTGCGGTCATAAGTCGAGAACTATCTGTACTTGCCTAATGATTAGACAAGAAGAGGCTGGTGGAATACATGTTATCCAGAAGATAAGAGCTGATCTCTTGGATTGTAGCTTGCTCATGTGATTTTTTGGTTTTTTCCTGGGTGGGACCTATGCTCTCCACAGAGTTGACCAGATCGTGGGGCGTGGACCATCACTGACCGACAAAGACCGCACCAAAGGCTCGGCCGAAGGAGAATTGCCAGAAGACCCGAGTATGATGGGCAGACTTGGCAAGGTGGAAAAACAGGTACATGTCAAGATTCGGGTTAAATGCCAGCATTCCAACTAACAAACTCCAACCCAGAAAACTCTGAGACAAACATTTTCTCAAAGTTTCACTTTATTAGAGTTGTCATATTGGCACACCCTGGGAAAACCCGAATCTGAGAATTCCGGGTTTTCCCTTCCCCAAGAGAAATTCAAAGATCCATCCCCTGCACCCCACCAGTCCATCACACGGTCAATGAAACGTGTCCCAACTGGAGATATTCCTCCAGTCACTCCCCTCGAGGTGCAGGGCAACATGTCCTTGATTCTCTGAGAAAGAATGTTGTTGTTTCTAGTCTACTACCTCACTATGGAATCTCCCCTCCCAAATTCCTAGACACTGAATGTGGCAGCCTCAAAGCTTCCAAGTAAAAAATGGCTTCCAAGAGTGACAGTACGGTTCCTACCTTAGGTGTCCTCTCTCCTGCAGGAGCTTGAATGGCTGCTGATTTGCTTCTGGGTCCCAATCAAGGTGCTTATTGTCACCTTGAAAGCCCTACATGGCTGAAGGCCAGGTTATTTGAAGGGTTTATTGTGGCCTATGGGCCGCCAGCCCCTCCAGGAACCAAATCGGAGGAGGAGGAGGAGGCGTGGGAGTCAGGGTGAGCATTAGCACTCAGATGGGGAGTCAACAGCCCCCAGGTCTGGAGGTGGCTGATGTGGAAGAGGAGGAACAGGTGGGTCCAGTGCCTGATGCGTGGGTGCACAGAAGGGAGAGGAGAGGAGAGCAGTGGAAATCTATGGGCTGATCCTTGGGACGGAAGAGCCACCGCTGCTAGCGAAGCCCCATCCCAGCTCTGAGGGTAAAAGGCAGGGGGTGGAGATGAATAGATGTAGCAGACAACTATTCATCTCCCTGCCAGACAGACTTGTTAGCCTGAGTTGAGAGAGAAAATTTTTGCCAGGGCTGCTCGCACTCCCAATAAAGGAATCATTGATTTAACTTCAGAGGGTGTTGAGGTAATTCCCCGTTAGGAGAATGAGTGCACATAGGGAGACGTAGGGAGAGTAATGTTGAATAACACACAGAGAACACAGCTACACTGTATAGTAAAATGTAGGTTTTACTTCCAGTAAATGGCTAAGCAAAGTCCAACGAACAATCCAAGTCATACACGGTTATAGCAGTCAGTTTTTGGTCCACGGATAATCCAATAACAAAGTCCAGTATCAAAAACAGTTCAGTAATAGACTCACATCAATCCAAGAATAACGACGATCAGCAACAGTTAATAGGGAAAATGCAGGAACCAAAAACAGCGAACATCAACCAACTAGCAACTTGCAACACTCAGGACTAAACAACCCAGGTTTCTGGCTCCATCTTATGGCCGTTTGAGGAACCACACACCCAATTACAATTTTAGCATTCACTTAAAGAGACATTAAAATGTCTATCCTGTTTTATATATTTCCAACCCAACTGTTAGGTGACTTACATTCCTAACAGAGGGTTTGCCATGTTTTGGGGAGCTGGGTCAGAACAGAACCGTCTTTTCCAGGAACATCTATCTGACCCACCAGAGCAGGGAGGCAGGGGATGTTAATAGGTCTCCTGCCAACTAGCACACCCAAACCAAATAAACACCCTTGGGAGCTTTGAATCCCCCAAAGGAAAACTTTATTGACTACACCATTTTGGTACTGAAAAATCAAAACCAGCTCTGGTTTTTCCCATGCAAATGCTTATCTTGTTAAACAATACCTTCCCTTTCTCCCCACCCCTGAGTGATAACAGCGTCCAATTATGAGACGTCTTTTTGTTACGGGAACAGTCCACCTCCCTTTCAGGCACCTGCAGTGGTGACCTTGATGGTTGCCAGGTTCTCACGGCCCGTGAACACATTCTCAGCGTTCTGTTTCACCCTCCCCCCCCCAGTTCATTGGCTAGTTGAATAGCGTTAAGGTTTGAAAGAAGCAAAGAGATTCGATCCTGACTTCTCCTAAGGAGATCCATCTAGTGCCGTGATGGCTAACCTATGGCACATGTGCCACAGGTGGCACACAGAGCCATTTGTGCCAGCACGCGAGCTGCAGGCAAACTTACCTCACTGCGCATGCTGATTTTCGGCTAGTTTGAGGAAGGCTTCTGCAGGCTTTGCAGGCTGAAAACTAGCCCCATTTCATCATTTCCTGTTTTTCCAAAAATACCTGAAGTGACGAAACGGGGCTAGTTTTCTTCTCTGTGGTGGCTCCCTCCCTTATTATCCTTGTGGAACTAAGATTGGCCTCCACGTTGACACTCGTTCGCAAGGCCCTAAAGTTGGAAGTGGTTTTGCCATTGAGTCTGGGGACCCCAGAGTAGGATGGAACCCAACAAATGGCTCATTTGCCACCAGGAAAAGAGGGGTTCTTGCTTTTTTATTGTTTTTATATTGGGTTTTTAATCTTCGTAAGCCACTTAATGTCGCTGAGAGAGAATTGGGCGGCCATATTTTAATAAGCAAACAACCCCCCCCCCTCATTTCTACAATGTAATGGTTGAAATATATTGAAAAACTTCCTCTCTCTTTTCTCCCTTTACCTTTGCCTTCAGGTTATTTGGTGGATTGTCTGTCTGGGTTTACAGGTAGTCCTTGAAAAACAACTGTAATTGAGCCCTGCAATTATGGTTGTAAGTTACGCCGGTTGTAAAGCAGGTCACCATATGATCGGACCTGATCTTACAACTTTTTCTACAGCAGTCTTTAACGTGGAAACGATGGTTGTGAAGCCAATCCATTGCTTGCGATGAGGCAGTTTTTGCTGGAAACTGGAAGCCAAGGTTAACCAGATGCAAACAAGAGATGTGAATTAGAGCTAATATTTCCCTTAAACCAATTCATGCTAAGAGTTACTGAAAAAGACATGGAAGAGTTTATAACATTTCCTTAATTTGGATATTTCCCGAAGAAATTGGAAGTTTGTTATGTCACTCTGGCAGTTGAGGGGTCCTTGGTGCTTTCTGAGCTTGGTTTTTTCCTTTTGCAGACGTTTCATCACCCAACTAGGTAATATCATCAGTATTAGAGGGGAGTGAGGCTTGATCTCTGATAAGTGACTTGTCCTAGTCAGGGCACTGTAATTCTGTGAAAAGGTTAAGGACTCAAACCATAAACTCTCAGGCAGAACTAAGATTCAAGCTGGTTGATTCATGGAAGACAGTAGACTCTTAGTTAACATTTATCAAATTTAACAACTTGAATATGTGTGGATTTCAACTCCCAGAATTCCCCAGCCAGCATGTCAGGGCAAACTATTTGTATATAAACAAGGGGCAAACCCCACTCCCTTCTAGCACTGATGATATTACCTAGTTGGGTAATGAAATGTCTGCAAGAAACCAACTGAACACCAAGGAATCCATAGTCCTCCTCCTCCTCCTCCTCCTCCTCCTCCTCCTCCTCCTCCTCCTCCTCCTCCTCCTCCTCCTCTTCCTCCTCCTCCTCTCCACAAGTACCCCTCCCTTCTAGCACCGAAAATGTTACCTAGTTTGGTTTATGAAACACCTGCAGAGAAACCACCCAGCTCAGAGAGCACCAAGGACCCCATCATTTCAACCCCGAGCTACAAATATTCTCCTTTATCGATATTCTGGAAGTTATTCACCTTTAAGGGAACTTGCCGCTATCCTCAAGATTCTCCATGGACCCTTTGAATCAAGGTATCTTTAGATCTAAAATAATTTGGCTAATCGTGTCTATGGGGCATTTCCCAGGTTCTCTCCATGGAGAAGAAGTTGGACTTCCTGGTCAACATCTACATGCAACGGATGGGCATCCCGCCTAATGAAACGGAGGCCTATTTTGGTTCCAAAGAGCCTGACCCAGCACCTCCCTATCATAGTCCAGAGGACAGCCGGGAACACATTGATAAAAATGGCTGCATTATCAAGATCATCCGCTCGACCAGTTCCATGGGGCAGAAGAATTACTCTGCCCCGCCACCAGCCACAACGATGCCAAACAACTCCTGTCCTCCCTCCACCTCTTGGCAGCACTATCCCCGCCCGAGCTACGGGTCCTCCCCGGTGGGCGATCCTGGTCCCTTGGTGAGAATCCCGCCGCCGCCTTCCCATGAGCGCTCCTTGTCGGCTTACGGCAGCAACAACCGAGCCAGTTCCGAGTACGCCAAGAACGAAGATGTGACTGCTAAACACCCCGAAAGCGCCCTGAGGGACAGCGACACTTCTATTTCCATCCCATCGGTCGACCACGAGGAACTGGAGCGTTCCTTCAGCGGCTTCAGCATTTCCCAGTCCAGAGAAAATCTGGACATCCTGAACAACGGTTGCTATACCGCGGTGGCCAAAATCAGACCTTACATTGCAGAAGGCGAGTCGGATACCGATTCTGACCTCTGCACACCTTGCGGCCCTCCACCAAGGTCAGCCACGAGTGAGGGACCTTTCGGTGATCTAGGCTGGTCAACCCCAAGACAGTGAGACCACGGAAAGCCCACCTGAAAATAACGTCAAGGACACGAGGCCGTCGCAGGTCTGCATCTTGGACCTCTTCAGCAGACGGGAAGGTCATGTTCTGGGACCCAGAAGTAGTAGAGGGGGTACTTAAACATAGTTTACCTTGGGGGAGGGGGAACAGACGTGGTACCTGTGACCTTACAAGGAACAAGAGAGTCCTGGAAGGCGTACCTCGAAGTCTTGACATGTCCGTTGTGTCCATTTCAGGTTTGACTTGGAAACCTGACACGTTGTTTCATCGTCCTGACTTTCAAAAATTGGATAAGTGAAATTCTTTTCCTACCCTTGGGTAGATAGCTACAACTCGTAGTAGCCTTCTCTGCTACACAGGCTTTGTGTCAGAGCTTGGTTGTGTCATGGGTAAATATCAGTTTTGAATAAGAAGGCTTTACAGTCTTGAATCACACACAAAAACCTCACTGGTGTTTAAAAAAAAACAATGCCTTGGGAGGAGAAATGATACATCTATCGAAAGTGTTGAGGAATGATGGTTTAATAATAATTACACACAGCAGTTAAGCAATGGAGATTTAAAATGGTTCATGCCAGAAGTCCAAATGGCAGGCCCATAAATTCTTAGCAACCAAAAGGCGTTGAAGCTTTAGATCAGGATTAGGACCATAATGTGAAAGAAAGTGTTTGAATTTTTTAAAAAAGGCCAACAAATCTCAAGAGAACATAGAATCACAGGGCTGGAAGGGACCTCAAAGGACTTCTAGTCCAACCCCCTGCTGAGGGCAGGCGGCTTTATACCATTAAATGGCTGTCCAGTCTATTTTTTGGAAAGTAAGGCTTCTTTCTTTTGAGTTCGATTTTGGTTGTTAAATAAAATATTTGGAGGATAGTGGCATCAAAACACATTCAGGTGTCTGGATAGGTTTATCTTACTTAGGATGCCGAACCTCTATTAAGACGGAAAGCTGAGAATGTGGGAACACTAAAACTCTACATTTACATATAAAATCTAAGGTTAATATTGACCTGGTCTGGAATGACTGCTTCCTGGTTTATACCTCATAATTATCGGTCTCTGAAGGGGACAAGTTGACCTTTGTCATGATAGAAATGGCACGAGTTGTGGGCTTAGGCTGTGACATTCATGCCCCATTTGGGCGATGAGGTCATGATGTCCATGCCAGCCGTTTGCCCTCATCCTGGCTTGCTACAGTCCCCGTGACTCTTATGTTGGCAAGCTCAAAATGACGAAGGAGAAGCCCTTTTGTAGAATCCTACGGGAGGAACCTGAGAATAAGCTTCTGTTCTTGGAACATCTTGAAAATTTGCTGAAACGGGGCACATAAATAAAATTCTGTAAGACAGAGGTCTCCAAACTTGGCAACTTTTAAGACTTGTGGACTTCGACTCCCAGAATTCATAGCTGGCATAGCTGGCTGAGGAATTCTGGGAGTTGAAGTCCACAAGCCTTAAAAGTTGCCGAGTTTGGAGACCTCTGCTGTAAGATGAGAAGAATGCTTATGGTGGAAGGAAGAAGAAGAGTTGTTCAGGAGCTCACCCATTAGGTGAGCGAAGGATGGCCTCTGCATGCATTGTGCTTCCTTGGCTTTATATTTCTCAACCTTGGCTTCTTGAAGATGTGTGAACTTCAATTCCCAGAATTCCTCAGCCATAGGGAATTCTGGGAGTTGAAGTCCACACATCTTCAGGCGGCCAAAATTGAAGAACACTGCTCTACTTTCTCCAAAAACATCCCCCCCCCATCGTTTCAGCGCCTTCCAGAGTGGGATGGATGTTCTCTGGGATTCTCTTTTGGCTTGGTTTAGTCTTTGCTAAATTTATGGCTCCTTGCTTTGTTTTTGCCTGGTGGATTACTTCTCACTGTTTGGTCTATTTATCAATGGCTGCTAATGCTTGTACGTAGTTCCATTTTCCTCCTTCCTGGACAGTTTCAAAGCCTGGAGAAGCTTATGTAGGGAGTAAACAGAGAAACAACAAGGAGGTATGTCCTAAATAACTAGGGTTTATCATAGACATGGGGGCATTTCTGTCTTCCACTTGCTTAGATTGACTTGATCTTAGGCTGCAGTTTTAAATCCATTTTTCTTGAAACCGGAAACTGCTCAATTTCCATGGGTTGCTTTTATTCCTGTTGATTGCAAAGTATGCCTGATAAGGACCCATCAATGTGAAATTCAATAGATAACTAATTTTGCAACTTCCAACAGTCAGTAAGACTT